CGCACCACGTCTCAATCCTGGGGGCCGCCAACACTCCGAGCACACGTCTGGACAAGGCCAGTTGAATTGTGTGGTCGCGCTGCTTCTCGGCCTGCACTTGATCAGGTCTGACCGTAGGCACACACATCGCGAGCCACCGCCTCGCGGCCAACTCCTCACACCACCGTTCTATACGTCGTGCAGGGCGCGCTTGCAAGAGCATGCACGCACAAGATACTTGACAGGTGTGTGCACGGGCGCAGCAGGGGACGTGAGAGCGGGAGGGGCCACGCTCACCACCGCAGGCACGGGGCGACAACCGGCACGGCCCGCGGCACCAGGCAGACCGAACGACACCGCGGCACCCAACGAGCCAGGTCCGGGGAAGCGCACGGGCGGGGCAGTGGCCTCCTCCTAGTAATATCCCTGCCTTCGCAAACTTCGCGCGAAACTTCTGTGTCAAGCTCCTTCCCCTGCTTGACCTGCTCGTCTGAGAACATAGGAACAACAGCCAGCAGATTTGCCAAGCATGCGCTCCTGCCGTGCCTGAGGTGTTTCACACTCGTCTCAATGGCATGCGAAGCTGCGTGCAGCAAGATTGACAGCTCGACCCCGAGGCAGTCCTTCCCGCGGGGTCAAGCTCAGGATGTGCCTTTGCCCTGTGCGAGGCCCAACGCGCCCTCGGGAGACGGACGCACGAGAGAGGGAGGGCAATCTACACTGGCGCTCGCGGCTGTGTTCCGCAGCACGTCGTGCCCTTCGCGGCGTCGACGCAGGTCGTCAATCGCGCGCGCTTGTGCTGCAGGCTGTGCCTGCCTGCGCGTTCTCTTCAAGAGGCGCGTGCCACGCTCGCGCGCAGCATGCACCCACCAGCCAGGTGGTCCACCGGGCCGCATTGCTCGAGGCAAGTTCGCGTGGATCCCCAGCCAGAGGAGATCATCGCAGGTAAGGCTGGACCGGGAGCTCTCTGTACTGCGTCGTCCAGCAGGGAGAGTAGTGCAACGGGTGCGGCCTGCAACAAACGAGGGACCAGTCTCGGCCTGCAAAGGCGGAGGGAAACCGAGATAGGCGCCTGACCAACAGTACTTCGGAGCCGGTGTCCAGCGACACTGTTACGAGGTAAACGGTGGCCAGACGGCGGTGCGGTGCGAGGCACGCGACGAAGCGGCTGCTGGACTGCCTGCAGGTCTTGCGGGGCATGTACCCCGCGCTGATCCAGGGTGTGGTTCAGGCCGTGAAGTTCGTGCTGCGGCTGCCCCGCCGCCCCACGCAGCTGCGGGGCCACCCGAGGAGGACGAGGAGTAGGCGGGCGCCGCCACGCCGCCGCGCGCGCCCGCGCGGCGGCCGCCACGACGCTGGCGGCTCGAAAGGGTTCGAAAGGGCTCCACCTCCTCCTCGTCGTCGTCGTCGTCTTCCTCCTCCTCCTTCTTCCTCCTCCTCCTTCTCCTCCTCCTCCTCCTCCTCCTCCTCCTTCTCCTCCTCCCCCTCGTCCTCTTCCTCCTCCTCCTCCTCCTCTTTCTCCTCCTCCTCCTCCTCCTCCTCCTCCTCTCCTCCTCCTCCTCCTCCTCCTCCCACGTCCATCCTGTCCTCCTCCTCCTCCCTCCTCCTCCCCCTCCTCCTCCCCTCCCTCCTCCTCCTCCTCCTCCTCCTCCTCCTCTTCCTCCTCCTCCTTCTCCTCCTCCTCCTCCTGCTCCTCCTTCTTCTCCTCCTCCTCCTTCTCCTCCCTCTCGCCTGTCGGGAGTCGCGAAGGAAGAAGAAACGACATCGACACCGCCAGCAGGGTCATCCCCTCCGAGGAGGTCCACGACGATGCCTCGCCGAGCTGGAGAGCGGAGACGTTCGAGGGCGACGCCGAAAGAGTGCGGCACCACACCACCACGAGGATTTTCCTCAGCCTTCGAAGAACAAAAACGGCATAAACCTGAATTGTTGGCGGTCCGCCCTAATTTCTTGGATCTGCGCTGGGACCCCCTTGCGCGCTCCGCGCGCCAGTCAGGGGGGCCCAATTCAGATCCAATAAATTTGCGCGGGCCGTCAATATTTAGTATTTGTGTCGCTCTTTGTTCCTTTGAGTCTGCACCTTGACCATGGTGATGTCGGTGCCGCTTTCTCTCGCTTCCGCTCTCCACTCCGCGCAGTTGCCCAGCCCGACTGTTCGCCCATCCCCGCTCCTCGCAGGCGCACCACCGGTCCAGTTGAGGGGCCGGCACTGGCCGGGACGCCCGGGCCGACCAGGTGCGCACAGTGAGTGCGAGGAGGATGGAGTTGTGCCTGTAGTAGCTTCTGGTGCAGCCCATCGCTCGCTTTGACTGGCGTCTGACCGTCTCGCACACCCTATCGCACACTTGAAAGTGAGGAGGGTGCGGCGGTTCAGGTGGATGAGGATGAGGAGCATGTGGGAATTGGATGAAGCAGGAGGGACCGTCGATGGTTCAGAGTTCTCATGAGGGGGGAGCGAGATGTCTGTGAGGGAAGGGCTGAAGTTGGAGGAGGGGTAGTGCAACGAGTGGAAGATGATTATGATGATGATGATGATGATGATGATGATGATGATGATGATGATGATGATGATGATGATGATGATGCTGATGCTGATGATGATGATGATGATGATGATGCTGCTAATGATGATGATGATGATGATGATGATGATGATGATGATGATGATGATGATGATGATGATGATGAAGGTGATTATGATGATGATGACGATGCTGACGATGATGATGGTGATGAGGACGATTCCGATGATAATGATATGGTCATGATGATGCTGATGATGAAGATGATGATGAGATGATGATGACGATGACGATGATGATGATGATGATGATGATGATGATGATGATGATGATATGATGGATGATGATGATGATAATGATGATGATGATGATGATGATGATGATGATGATGATGATGATGATGATGTGATGATGATGATGATGATGGTGGTGGTGGTGATGGTGGTGATGGTGATGGTGATGGTGGTGTGTGGTGTGGTGGTGGAGAGGAGGAGGAGGAGGAGGGAGGAGGGAGGGGGAGGGGGGAGGAGGAGGAGGAGGAGGGAGGAGGGAGGAGGAGGGAGGAGGAGGAGGAGGAGGAGGAGGAGGAGGAGGAGGAGGAGGAGGAGGCTGATGTTGGTGCTACTTCTGAGCCCTCTCGCCGCGCGCTTTCGCTGGGCGCTCTCGCTGGGCGCTGGCAACGGGTGCCCCTGGCGGGCCAGTGCGCAGCACTGCGGGATTGCGCCGGTACCAAATTACAGGGCGCCGGGACTGCGATCTGCCGTCGGTGGAGAAAGAGGAGGAGGAGGAGGAGGAGGAGGAGGAGGAGGAGGAGGAGGAGGAGGAGGGCGAAGAGGAGGAGGAGGAGGAGGAGGAGGAGGAGGAGGAGGAGGAGGAGGAGGAGGGGCCGCGAAGGAGGGAGGGAGGAGTAGGAGTAGGAGAGGAAGTGACGCCTCGAGCGGCTGCTTCGCTCTGCGGCTTGTCCAAGAAGTAGGAGAGGGAACAGGGCTATCCAGGAGGCAAGGACAGTCTCTTCAGTGCGTGCGCTGCTTGGGGAATGGTCAGAGAAAGATGTGAAATTGCACCAGATGGTGTACGTCTGCTGGCATAGATGCCCTGGAACTTTGGAGGCTCGTCTGGGGGGCCTCTGACGGTTTTCCGAGGCCGTCCCAGTGAGGCTCCGCAGGGGGAGGGTGTAAGGATTGCCAGTCTGGTTGCCCCAGTACCAGGGAAACTCTGGGAAGCGGGCGCGCCCGTGTTGATGGCACGAAGAGATACAGTCTGGGGAAAAGTGGGCCTTGGCATCGCTCATCGAGGAACATCTTGGACCACCCTGCGAACAACATACACGCAGGAAATCGAGAACTAAACGGGGACCTGGACGTCCGAGCGATGCCAAGGGGGGGGCCCACGACCACCATGATTCTCCTGCGATGTGCACGGGCCCTCGGAAGGCTTCCCAAGGCCGTTCCAGCTGGGGGCTCCGCAGGAGGATGGTGCACTCAGGTCTGTCAGAGGGACGCCCCCGCATCTGGGGAGCCCTGGGAGGCTCGAGCCCTCCCCGGCCCTCCTAGCTACTAGGGTCGGGGCCCCGGAGTTAAACACCAGCACCAAGATCGGAGGACGCTCACTGGGGGGCGACAGACGGGGGGGGGGCAGCGCAGGCTGCAGAAAGGGGCCGGCCCCTGAAGGAGCCCCTGAGGGCCCCAAAGGGGGCCTCCATAGGGTCCGAGCAGGGCACCTTTCACCCCCCCCGCCTGGCATCGTCACCCTTAGCTGCGCGCCTGGCAAGATCCTGTGGCTCTCAAGGGATGCTAAGCTTCACCGTGCAGGGATTTGCATGCTTGGTGCCAGTGCCGACGCCGTGCCCTGCCACCAGGGAGTTCCGAGGACCTCCGCAGGCCTCCCGGGGAGCTTCCCGGGAACTCCGGCGACCGTCCTGGCGCGCTTCCGAGGCCGTCCCACCACCACTGTGGGTGCCTTGGGAGGCGCGAAGCCTATCGCAAAGTTTCCGCAAGCCCAGTTGGGGCTTCCCAGGGCCTCCCACATCTTTCAGGGGTTCCCAGGACGCCCCTTTCCCCCCCCCCTGTTCTGAAGCATTTCCCATGGCCCGGAGCTTCCCGCAGGTTCCAAGGGCTTTTCTGTGGATCTTTCGGGAGACCCTCGGATGTCTTGGGAACGGGTGGCCCTGGATGGATGGTTCTGGGGGAAGTCTAGGCCTTGAAAAAAGTTCGTAAGTAGGAGGTACGCCCCTCGGACGCCTTTGCCCGACATCAGCAAACAAACAATTCATTCCAGGCATCCGGCGACATGATTGTTTACGACGTGTGTCCAGAAGCTGCTGAACCCATCCCCTGGATTTTTGTTGTTCGCCGCATGTTGCCTTATGCTGGTCCTACGGCCCGAATCGGCCCCTGGTGGCTTAACATGCGAGAGTGAAACCACTCGTAGAAGACTTTCGTGTCGTCGTCATCGTCGTCGACGTGCTCCTCGCTCGTCGTCGTCGCCATTTGCTGCCAGGCTTCCTGGGAGGCCCAGTGCCGCTGACGTACCGCGGCAAGACGCGACAAGCTGCGGCGCACGGCGCGATCATGGCCCCGCGAGCGACGACGACGCACGACGTATGACGGCAGCGTGTGACGGCGACGGCGACGGCGACGACGATGGTGGCGGCGTCGACGGCAACGGCGTGGCAAGACGGCGACAGCCACGACGACGACGGTGGCGACAACGACCACGACGATTGTGGTGGCGGCGATGGCAATGGCGGCGCACGACGGCGGCGGCGACGGCGACGTACGACGGCGACGGCGTGCGAACGCGACGCACGACGCGGCGCACGACGGCGGCGACGACAGCGGCGACATGGACGAGGACGGTCTTGGGGACAGCCCCGATGTCCAGGACCCGCCTCCTGTGGGACTCCTTTCCTCGACTGCAGTTCTGGACCCTCGCAGACCTCGGCATTCTATACTGGCCGTAGGCCCTGACCTGGCCGCCCTCCGCGTTCCTCGCGGCGCGAGGCGCGAACGCAGACCACCCACAGCCGACGCCATGGGCGACGAGCCATCATCACTCTGCGCGCAGGTGCCCCGTCCGAACCTCTCGTCGGGGCCGCAGGTCTGCGATCACCCCGATGCGTCTGCGGCAGGTTCACACGCAGCGATGGCGTCGGTGTTCCAGTATATTCGTGTCGTGACAGTCTGGCCGCGACGCCGGCGCGGGCGTTCAATTTTTAATGCCGTCTCTTGGCCCAGAGTCGGCCGACGTTGACCAATCAGCGCAATCGGAAGCCCCCGACCGTTCAAATGATGAGAGGACCCACGCGCGATCGGAAGCCAGCGCCAGTGTGGTCACTTCATGAACCTGCCGCGTGATGATTTGAGCATGTGGGCGCGGGCAGAAGTGAACCGTCGGCCGATCTTCACGATGCTGGGGCAGGCCGCCGTCGGCATCTCGGAGGGATGCGCGGGGATCGGCCAGATGCGGGGCCTCGAAGAACCCCACGCACCTCGCGCTCCCCGCCATCGCTCCTCCCCGCATGTCGCCGGCGTCGAGCATCGATTCCCGCGTCGGGGCTTCAGAGACGGGGGTCAATTCAAACGGGGGTCCGCCAGAGAGCCGGGTCTTACTGGTTCCTGCAGAGCCAGGGGTGCACTGACCCGAGCTCGGGCGCAGGATCCAGCAAAGTCTGACCGGCCAGGGTCTGCATTGACTGGGTCAGTAGATCCACGGGAACGGCCGCCTGTTTTCCCTGGCCCTGGAGATTTTTGCCCAAGGGCGGATTCTGGAAGTGCTGGGCCAGGGCCCCCCCCCCTCCCCCTACAATCCTCCTCCCTCCGCTTCCTCCTCCCCCTCCTCCTTGGCCTCCTCCTGCTCCCCCTACTGATCCTCCATTCCTATCCCTTAGAAGTAATTCCTCTGTCGCATCCCGAGGCAAGTCGGAAAGGCGGGCCGTGCGATTCGCTTGAGACTTCCTCACCACTTCTGATCCCGAAGCTCAGCAATTGCAACAGTTTCACGGATGGAGGGCGCGTTGTTTTCAAAATGCGGCTCCCGCGTTAGCCCCACGCACATCCGTGTTAAACATATACACGAGCTTCACGGATTGAGGACAGGTCGGTTTCAACATGTGGCTCTCGCCTTAGCGCCACGCACATCCGTCAAAAAAAGAGCTTCTCGGATGCAGGGCGTGTCGTTTTCAAAATGTGTAGCGCCGCGCGCACTCGGTATCAATAAACGCAAGGATTTTGCGGATGGAGGGCGGGTCGTCTTCAAAATGTGGTTCTCGACGTAGCGCCGCAGACATTCCTCATATAAGATTGGAAGAGTTTCACGGATGGGCGGCGGTCCCTTTTCCCACTGTAGCTCTCGCCTTAGCGCCGCGCGTATTCGCTTTCTGAAAGTTCATAACCGTTTCAAGGGTTCTCTGTGTTGGCGTCCCCGAAATGGTGCTCCGGCGCGATGCAGGACGGTCCGGGCGCAACAGTAACGTTGATGCGTGGTGCTGAAGTCCCAGAAATAGCGATCTGGTGCGACTCAACATCGTCAAGACGCAGCAGTACACGCTGGTCGTTGAAGGTAGGTAGGTCTGGATTCCCAGATCCCAATCTACTTTAGGCGCCCTCCTGCTTCCGTGATCGGGTGGATCCAGCTTTGCCTGCCCCTTTCGGGGGGGCGGGCGGACACCGAGCTGAGCTGCTTGCAACGCCTTCCTGCTTCATGCTGCTGCCCACTGCTTCCGACCGACGGTGAACGGTGATTCGCGGCGTCGAAGTCCCAGGAATGGTGTGCCAGCATAGTTTAGGATTTTCGAACGGTTGTTTTTCAACGGGGCACTATTCAGTGACATTGAGTCCTGGCATGTGGCTTATGAAGAGGGAGCTTGCACGGAGGATTGATTGCAACATCGTCGATGAGTCGTGGTTTTACACTGGTCCTCCTCCCCCCCTTCCTCCTTCTCCTCCCCTCCTGCCCCCACTCCTCCCCCTTCTCTCTCATCCGTTTCCTACTCCTCCACCCTCTTTTTCTTCCTCCACCCTTCCCTCCATGCTCCTCACCCCTCCTACGGCATCCTCCAACCTCCTGCTTCACGATCCTCAAGAAAACCGGCCTGGCGCCCCGGGCAGGGACACGATCGGGAGCCAGCCCGAGCTGCTTCTGGAGAAGAGCGCTTGCACCCCCAGCCTTCGCGGCACAAAAGCCCGAACCATAGTTTTACATTACTTCATGCAGCACATAGAGAGAGTACCATTGACTATTGAGGGTGCATGTTAGCATACGGAGTGCTGCAGCGAGGCACTCCAGCACGAGAGACCGTGCGGGAGGCCGTGCGGAAGACTACGTGGGAGACCAGGCGGCAGGGAGACCACACGGAGACTCTGCGGGAGACGATGCCACGGAAGGCAGTGCGGGAGGCCGCACGGGAGACCGTTGCAGGAGACCATTTGGGAGACCATCGTTTTCGATTCCTGACCTGGGGGCAGCAGCCCTCGCCCAGAACAGCAGACAGGACCCTTGCATACAACGCGCTTCGGGAACCACAGCACAGATGTAACCTGTCGGAAGCCCGAGCAGCAGATGTCTTGGATCGGCGCCCCGCCCTGGCCCGCGGGGCGCGCAGGGGACGGCGCCAGAGGCGCCGCGGGGGGGGGGGGCAGCTCCGATCCAAGAATCCCGCATGGACCTCCGACAGTGGATGTTTATGCCGCTTCTCCTTCTCAGACTCTCGGCCGACCCGTCGAGTTCCAGGGAGGCCCTCGCGGCCTCCGGAGCACCCTCCACGAGGAGAAAGGTTCGGATCTCAAGTGGACGACCCGGATCACAGCCAGGCGGCTTGGATCCCAACCGGCAAGACAACAGGAGCTGTCCAGATCCCAGCCGAGCTGATTCGATCCCAGCCGAGCTGATCCCAACCGGTAAGACAACCGGAGCTGTCCAGATCCCAGCCGAGCTGTCCAGATCTCAAGTGGACGATCCAGAGCACAACCGGGCGGCTTGGATCCCAACCGGTAAGACAGCCGGAGCGGTTCAGAGCCCAGCCGGGCGGACTCGAACTTCCAGGCGTCTGCGAGGCGCCTCCGCAGGCGCTTCGCGGGCGCTCCAGAGGCGCCCCTTAGGCGCTCCATAGGCACTTCAGAGGCGCTGCCCAGGAGGCGCCCCCTCGGTTTCGTGGAGGGTTCCCGTGATTTCCTCCTCGACCTCTGAGCGATTCTTGGGAAATTCCTTTGGAGTCCGGAAGGATTCCGGAGGATTCCCAGAAAACGGTTCTGGAGAACTCCTGTAGCATCTCTGAGGATTCCAAAATATGATTTTGAGGATTCCTCGGATATTCCAGATGACTCCTACACCGGATTCTTAAGGATTCCAGTGGGGTTCCGGCGGATTCCCGAGAGGTTCCTGAGGGCTTCCTGAGGATTCCTCACGGAATCGGGAAGAATGCACCTCGCGCGTTACTGCGCAGTCACTTTGCGGCCTGATGCGTAGACGGGCGGCCTTCCAGCAGAATTCTTGAACAATTTTTTTGATTCCACTAGGAATTCTCTTGCAAACGCGCCGACGGCCCATCCCCCGCAAAACGTTTCTTCATGTTCTGTATTTTTCCAATCGGAATTCAATAGGAAACGTGCCGGTCACAACCTCCAGCTGAATTCTTTAATTTTCTTTTTGGAATTCCGAAATTTCTCAAGAGGGCACGCGCCGATCCCAGCTTCCAGCATAATTCTCTAGTATTCGGCCTACTTCCAATTCGGATTTCAATAAGAGATGCGCCCACCCCAGTCTCCAGCAGGATTTTCACAATTCTTGCCAGTCGAGAATCCAATTGGCAATGCGCCAGGTCCCAGCAGAATTCTTTAATGTGCCATGTGCGTGTGTGTTCTGTTAGTCTGAATTCAATCGGAAGTGCTGTATCTCATGTGGTTTTCACTTGGAAACCAATGTATGGTACACGCGCCGATCCCACTCTCCAGCAGGTTCCTTTCAGAGTTTTTTTGGCCGGCGGAGGGTCTCGCGTTCGTGAAGGATGTTGGTATGTCTTCGGCCCGGCTGTATTCGACGTGTTCTTTCAGTCGGAATTCTGTATGGCATCCGCTGACCCCGCCTCCAGCAAGCTTATCGAATTTGTGATTTGCTTTTCAATCGGAATGCCATGTGAACTCCGAAGATCCCACCCTCCTGCAGGATTATTTGTTGCTTACACGTTCTCATGCGTCCCGTCTATGTTTCAGATTAGTATCACTTCTGTGCCAAATGCGGTTCTGCATAAGCCTGTTTCCCATACGCTTCGTTTACGTTTCGCAAATGCGTTTCACACATGTGTCATTCGCGTTCCTTTTACGTCTCACATCTGCATTCAACTCAAAGTGTATACGTTTCATCAGCGGGGCATGTCCAGTTCACACGTGTTTCACATGTGTTCCAGATTCGTTTCGTACACGTGCCATGTATGTACAGTTTATGTTTCATGCACGCTCAAGTACGTTTCGCACAATTCCCAAACACGTTTTAGAAACATGTGCTGAACTTTGCGTCGACGTTTCGTAAACCTTTCGCACACGTCTCGCATGCGTTGCAGGTACGTTTTGCAGACCTTTCGCATACGTTTCTTTTTTGTTTCGTAGACTCGGCGGCCAGCCTGGGGGGACGTGAGAGGGGGCGGGCCTCTTCAGAAGGTTCGGAAGGCCTCTGGCCTTCTGAGAAATTGTCCATGCCTTCCCCGAAGACGCAGGACATTTCTGAGAAGGCCCGACGGCGTCTGACTGAGAAGCCCCACCGCCTTCTGAGAAGGCCTTCTCCTTCTCCCTTCCCCCCTTGCTCGCCGCTGATATACACATCCCATAAGTTTTGAACAGTTTCGTTTGCGTTCGTACACGTTGCCACCTTGGGGCGCCTTGAGCCTATCTGGGGCCGTCTGGGAGTAATTGAACTCGTGTATCGCAGGAAAGTGGAATGGTCTAGATCCCAGCTGCGCACTATTGAAACCGAGTGAGCTCCCTCACGGGCATACCATTCGGTTGTCATTGCCAATCTAATCATGCAGTAACAACATAAACTAGAGCTTTTCTGGCGGTGGGGATCTGAACAGTTCTGGTTCTCTTGCCGGTTGGGATCTGAACCCTCCGGTTGGGATGTGACCCCATCGCCCTTCACGGGGTCCAGAGGGCCCCAGGGGGATCAGAATGGAGTGAACAAAAACTCGGGACATCAATGTGCCCTTGTCGCACCTTGCGGAGGCACAGGCGCTTGCGGAGCTGCGGAGCAAGAGGATACCCTGGGCGAGTTGCGCTTGGGAGCCACGGCCGCTCCGCAGCTCCTGCGCCCCGGCTCCCTCATCCGCGCAGCTGCGGCGCAGGAGCTGCGGAGCGATGGGCGCCCGGGGGCCCTCCGCCGGGGCACCTCCTTGTGCAGCTCCTGGACCCCTGGTCTCCGCGGCCGCGCGCCCCCCCAGCGGAGCGCCCCGCGCTCGCCAGGCCCAGAAAGAGGCCAAGCGCGCGGCGCTCGAGGAGACCCCGCCCCTGCGGGGGTGGTGGGCGGGGCGGGGGGGGGGGGGGGCGGGCGCGCGGGGTTTGGTGGGGCCAGGCGCCCAAGCCAGCTCCGAGGCCTCGCCTCCGAGGGAAGCAGGGGCAGGGCGGGGCTGTGCACGACCCCCGCGGGAGAGACGGCCGGCGTGATCACAAGCCTGTGATCGTTTCCTCATTCATCGTGGTGCCGATCGGCGAGGGCCCTCGCACCCCCCTCTCCTCCAATGGAGTGGATATTGGCTGCTTCTGGCGCCTGTTTCAAGCAGGTGGAGTCCTCCCCCACAGGACGCACTGTTGCAAACAGTCGCATTAAGCAGAGGTCCAGAGCCAGACCCCCCCGCCCCTCTCCCCCCCCTCCTGCCAAATGTCGTAACGCCGAATGAGAAAGTGGGAGCGTATGCACCAATCTCTTGGAGTCGGCGCTGCGCCTCCTTGGCGGCGCCTCCAGCACCGGCACCCGACGCGCCCCTCGCGAGAGGGAACGGGGCTTGCAGCGCCGACCCGAGACGTCCTCGCGGAACTGAGAGAGCCCCGCCCGTGCAGTTCTGCCGCGTCCCTCGTGCTGCTGCCTGGCGGTGCCCGCGGCATGACCCGCGTGCCGCGCACTCCTCCCCCTCCCCCTCCTCCTCCTCCTCCTCCGCCTCCTCCTCCTCTCCTCCTCCTCCTCCTCCTCCTCCTCCTCCTCCTCCTCCTCCTCCTCCTGTTCGTCATCCTCCTCCTCCTCCCAAACCTCCCCCCCGAGGGGGGGAGCCCCGCCGCCCCCTCTTGCGCGCCGAGAGCGGTGCGCGCGCCGCGCGGGCGGCCCAGCGCTGCGCGCGAGGGGCTCGGCGACCGCCCCGCGGGCCGAGCCCAGGCTCTCAGACCCTTGGTGGGCCCTGACGAAGGAGGAGGAGGATGACGAACAGGAGGAGGAGGAGGAGGAGGAGGAGGAGGAGGAGGAGGAGGAGGAGGAGGAGGAGGAGGAGGAGGAGGGGGAGGACCCCCTCCCCCTCCAACTTATGGTGGTGGTGGTGGTGGAACACAGGTCCATCAGAGGGCCCAGAGATCCGACGCCCCAGAACAGCGCAGCGGCGGGTTTCTGGCCACCTTCGGCGCCCGGGGGCCCTCGCGGGGCCTCGGGGCCGCCGAGAGAGAGGCAGGAGGGGGTAGGCTGGTCCTGGGAAAGTGGAGTCCGGACCTCGGGGCCTACGCGTCGAAGCGTTGGAGCGGCGGGATGTCTGGGACCCATCGAGCCGGATGGACATGTGAGGGCCCAGGGCTCAGTGGGCCCTGGAAACGACAGGGCCGTTTTTTGAACGGTTCCGTATTGCAGTTTGTTTGCCGCTTCCGACGCCGTTTTTGTTTCCGGTTCCGTCGCCGCTCTTGGACCGGCTCCGGTTCCAGCTCCAATGTTGGAGCCGTTTTTCTTTGTCGTTTCCGGTCGCCGTGTTTTTTTTTCCGTTCCCATTTTCAAGGGGCATTTTTTTTGGAAACGGTGAGAAAACTCAGAGGCCAGCAACATATGTACACGTACGCGGTTCGCTTCCCCTGGAGTGCGTGTCAACGCGGACGTTCGTACAGGCAAGACCGCGGATGGCGTACATGTACATATGTCGCTGCTCGCCCAAAAACGGCCATGCCGTTTCCGGGGCCCACAAAGCTCAGACTCCCCTCGCGCCGTGACGGAGATCACCTCGGGGGGCGCACGGCCGAGGTGTGGGGTGAAGTCGGGCCTGTCCCTCTACAGGAGGTATTCAAAAACAGTCCAGAAATAGTCTGGGGACGATGTTTTTGACATTTGCGAGTATTCTTGCGTATCTTTTTATTTTTCGTCCACAATCGGCCTGTAGGGGGGGCAGGCCCGACTCAAGTGTGGGGGGGCGAGGAATGGCAGAAGCAGGAACACAAGAACTCGGAGCTCCGCGCGGATGTCTTGGGTCGGCGCTGGACCCCCCTCCCCGGCGCGCGGAGCGCGCCAGGGGCGGCGCCAGAGGCGCCGCCAGGGCGGTCCAGCGCCGATCCGAGGGAGACCCGCGCGGGCCTCCGAGGTGTTATTCAGGAGGGAAAGAAACACACAGACACAATTAATCCTCGATTCCCCAGAAAATATGGGAAAATATGGGAAGTGGTTGGGAAGACAAAAACCCAGAAAATATTGGAAAATATGGGGAATATTTTTATTTATGTGTATTCATTTGTGTGTCCTAATTTCCCTTTAGTTATGCTCGTCTCCCGATACCTGGGGCACGGGCCTCGGGCCGAACGACAGGGGGGGGATAGGGAAAGGGGTGTTACAAGTTCGGCTGCGTGCAGCTGGTTGCGGCCCCGCCGCCGGGCCCATTCCTCGGTGCGTGGGCGCCTCCCGGCGCCGGGATGCGCTGGGAAAAGCAGCTACCCAGAGATCCGACGTCCTGATTTTTCCCCATATCCTAAGATGGGGTTCTTGTTAGTATTTGGACGCCTCCTCCTCCTCCTCCTCCTCCTCCTCCTCCTCCTTCCTCTTCTCGTCCCCTCCTCTTCTCGTCTCCTTATACGAGACTTACTCATGTCCAGACTTACTCACACACAGATTTACTCATACTGAGACCTACTCATACTCAGACTTACTCATATCAAGACGTACACATACGCAAACTTACTCATACACCTACTTACTCAGATTCAGGCGGGTCTCAGGAGGGGCGCTGGTTTCAGCACCCCTAAGGGGCCCCGCCAGGGGTGTTAGCACGGGCCCGTTCGCGGCCAGTTTGTGGGGATGTCTCAGGCGGTTTGCTCGTTTCCATGCTCAACATCCTTGGCTTTCAGAGCAGATGTTGATGAAGATGTTTCAGGCGGGGCGCTGGTTTCAGCACCCCTAAGGGGAGCCGCCAGGGGTGTTTGCACGGGCCCGTTCGCGGCCCACATCCTTGGCTTTCAGAGCAGATGTTGAGGCTGTCTCAGGCGGGGCGCTGGTTTCAGCACCCCTAAGGGGAGCCGCCAGGGGTGTTTGCACGGGCCCGTTCGCGGCCAGTTTGTGGGGATGTCTCCAGCGGTTTGCTCGTTTTCATGCCTAAGTTCTTGGTTTTCATAGCAAATTCTGAGGATGTCTCAGGCGGGGCGCTGGTTTCAGCACCCCTAAGGGGAGCCGCCAGGGGTGTTTGCACGGGCCCGTTCGCGGCCAGTTTGTGGGGATGTCTCAGGCGGTTTGCGCATGCCCAACATCCTGGCTTTCAGAGCAGATTTTGAGGATCTCTCAGGCGGGGACCCGTTTTTCATCCTGAGTGGTTCTTTGACGGTCCCGGGGCCCGGCGAGGGCCCCCAGAGGCCGAAAAATGTGAGAGTCCTCCGTCTTGATGTCTTGATGTTTTCCATGCGTTGGGTCTCTGGGTGCGTGAGCTGATTCTCTACCCTGTACCCTTTTCTGTCCCCCCCTCCTCGTTCCCCCCGAAGGCCGATAGACTTCGGCGGCTGGCCCCCTCCAGGCGAGTGACAGTGGGCTGCGGGATGCCCCAGCCGGGCGGTGGCCACTTGCCCCCCCGCCTCCTCCGCTCGCGCGCTTCCTCCCCAGACCCCCTCGCGTCGCGAAAAATCACATCGGGAGGTTTTTCACTGTTTTCGGCCTCTGGGGGGCCCTCACCGGGCCTGGGGACCGTCAGAAAACGATTCAGGATGAAGAACCCGTCCTGGGGAAGGGGTTCAGATTTTTGGGGGTCGACGTCAAGAACAAATCATGACGTCGGGGTCCGGGCAGATTGCACCACATAGTTTTAGTCCACGTAGCCTGCCCCCCCCACGTAATTCGCACCACATATTTCACCTCACACTTTTCTCGGGCCCGGGGCCCTTACTGGGCCTCGGGACCGTCGAACAACGATTCAGGATGAAGAAACGGTCCCGGGGAAGGGGTCCAGACCTCCCGGGGTCAACGCTGTGCAAAAGTCATGACGTCGGGGGTCTGGGAGGTAGGGCAACTGGAGGGCCCCGTCCCGGCCAAGCTCTGGAGGCCAGGCCGCTCCGCGGAGCGTCACCAATCACTCGAGGCCTCCTCCTCCTCCTCCTCCTCCTCCTCCTCCTCCTCCTCCTCCTCCTCCTCCTCCTCCTCCCCTTCCTGGCGTGCGGAGCGTTCCAGGGGCGGCGCCAGAGGCGCCAGCAGGGAGATCCCGCGACGATCCAACAAGTCTGGGCGGACCTCCAGAATTTTACGCATGCATCGCTACGTCTTGCTCTAATCACGCGAGCTATGCTCCTTGCCGTCCTTGGTTCGGCATGGGTGAGGAGGACCTTCTGGCGCGGCCAACTCTCGATGGACCCAGCGGAAGAGGCTGCGCTGTTCCAGGCGTTCCCTTCGCCCGCCTGCCCAAACCATGCCTGCAGTCTTTTCCTGCACAGCAAGTGTTGAAGAGATTCTCAAATGCGTTTAGAGAACACGTGTCTTGACAATCGAAGGCAAAGACGCTGTCGCGCCATGAACAGTTGCGGTGCTGCGCCGTGTCCGCATTCCAGGATGCGAAGAGTGGCTGTGCCGCGCCGTGCCGTGCCGTGATTTCGGCCTCGGAGCCGAGCCGCGCCATGTCGTGCCCCGACTTCGGAGCCCGAAGACGATGCCGTGATATGCCTGATGTACAGAATTCGAACAGAAGTTGCTGTGCAGCTCCGTGCCTATGTTTCAGCATGCGTGCCGTGCCTGAACGTCAGACTGCTACAGTACTGCAGCGCCGGGCGTGCTGTGCCCTGCCGCCCCTGAACTTCAGAATCTGTGAGAAGACACCGCCGCGTCGTGCCCGAATTTCAGTGTGCGAAAGAGTCGCCGTGACGTGCCGAGCCGGCAATGTTTTCTTATCATGCGGCGTTGTTGTTTATGGTCCCGATGCTGGTGTAATGGTGGACTGCGCGGGGGCGCACTGGGATCGCGCTTGACACCGCCCACCGATTGGGCTCCGAGCGAGAGGCCTGTGGATTCCATCTCTGTGCACTTAGGGGGAAGGAGCGTTGCACATCATCTTCTCGGCACTGGGCACAATCTC